CAAAAATTGTTAATTAGGGCAACCAAACTGATGGGTTTAACAGAAACCGAACCAGATGACAAATTAATTAAAAAAAAGTTATTTTTTAGGCAGTACGTCGGACTAGTAACATTCATAACTGAATGGTCCGGCAAGCAAATTCATTATCCCGAGCGATCAGGCTACCGTAATTTTCAAGCCCTGTCATGCATGCATTTTCAGAAAGATTAAAAAATGGCTTTCATTGAGTTCGGTCACAATGTTACAATTATCTATATTTGTATTATATTTTTCATTCTCTGCAATACCAAAATTGTCTTTGTGATACCAAATTTATCACATAATATAAAAAGTTACAATGTTTCCAGCTGTCTAGATAATTTTTGCTTATGCGTAATATGCTAGACAGCTAGAAAATTCATTCCCAACTATTTGCATTCCACAATAAATATTCTCAGGGTCAGCCATCTAGGCATTTTCAACTCCTGGCAACAATCACGGTGAAAACAAAGGCTGACAACTCTTGGAAAACTGTACTTTGGGATAGTTGTGAGACTCTGAACAGGGTAACAACATATATAAATTTGGTTGCTCAGAATTATTTCAAAGTTGAGTTTCTTCTGTTTTCTTGAATTTAGTTGTTTTCACTGGCTCTTCGACCAGTGTTCCACAGCAGCGTGTGCAGAGCCTATGGAAAATAACGGTACAGTTGTGAACGTCTTAGCAACGTAGAACATTCTTTGACGTAGCTCCGCCCCCAAGAGTATGCAATAATACAAGACATGTCAATATTTCTCATTCTTAACACAAAAATAATTTGGCTCGGCAGGACTTGAATATAAGTTTTTCACAAAATTACCTAAAATATTGATCAAAATGTTTTTTTTGAATAGTTAACAATTGGTTCCATTCCATCATATCTCCAAAAAAAAAAATTCGGGACCTATGCTAAGAAATGATATCTAGTGTTATGAAGGCTACATATGACTCATGAAAAGTTAAAGAATTTTCAATATTAGTTCAAGTTATCCATTTAATAATGTGGAATCCTATGGAAAATATTTCAATATGGCCATATTTTAGATCATTTAAAGTAAGCGGCTAAATTGTATTATGAAATTGACTGTCATTTCTAACAGTTAAACTTTTGTATGAAACATTCCTCCTTACATTAATTTTGATTTGGTTTACAGATGCTAAAAATCAAATCAGTGAGGCTGAAACAAGTGTTAAACAGGCTCACATGAAATTAAAACACTCTCAGGCAGAAATCAAGAAGAAACAATCAGAAATAAAGAAAACAGAGAAAGATTACAAAAAGGACAAGGAAGCCTTTGATTCCATTGTAAAAAGCAAGACTAAACTGGAAGTGAGTATACCATGTCACAAGCTTTAAAGTGAAGTCGGGGAATTGAGTCCTCAGTTACAATAACAACACACACTTTAAACAAAGAAAAATGGGTAGACGCTTATTTAACAACATAATGGCTATCTGTCGCATACACAGATGATGACATCCTTGCTTTTAATTCCGGATTTCTCACCATTAATCATATATATATGCAAAA